ATTTTATGTTTAATCTTAACATTATTCAAAGGTAAAGTGAGCACCACGAGTTAAAACTATCTGCATGACAGCTCCTTGGACCTATAGTTGGACCAGTGGTTGAAAAGACTGAGTGTAAATATAGTATTTCTACATAAGACAGGAGATTACAATCTGGTAACCAGGATAACTGCTAGAGGGCCAAATCAAATGGCTTGGCGGGCCAAATTTGGCCCACGGGCCCCACTTTGGGCACCTCTGCTCTAAATGTATAATAGCTTTATGAATTGTCAATCTTTGATTTTGGTGTGGGGAAAAAGCATCAGAGAATCAATTGTAATTGTATTTTACTCTTTTCTTATTTTGAATTGAATAGTTGAATTGTTAGTGAGGGTTTCCTTTTTATGATTTGCTGGGTTGTGATAAAATGTATCTCTAAATATTAATAAATCAAAACGTTGGTAGATAATATGACATATGAATGCTAAAGATGTGACTTTTTAAATTTAACCTTTTTTTAACTAGTTCGGTTAAACACTACATCAAATATAATAATACAGAAACTGACCCGAGGCTTCTCCAGCAGGATGTGTAATTTAATAAAAAATAAAATAATAAAATCTTAGTTGCTGATTGTCCTTTTAATATCCCACCACATGGGGTCCAGCCTCTGCTGGTCGAGGCTTTCACTCTCAGTAGGGTTCCATTTGGAGAAACGGTTTTGCTCGTCAATATTTTACATCCAGATTCCAGGAACACCAGAACCGAGTAATTGTGAATAAACACYGTTTCAAAACGACAGGTGGAAATGAGTTCAGACAGATTTGTGCTGCAGGTACATTCACGTTTTTCCAGGATGAATTTTATTTGGCGACCAAGAGGTGTTCAACACACGAAAGCAACAAAACGTTCAATCACATCGAAATCAGATCTCTCCTGTTGATGCAGAAACAAAAACAAAAGTTTGTGACATTTGAGCTCGCGGGTGGGTAAATCCAGCCGAACTCGACGTGCGTCCTCTGGATTCAGGAGAAACACAAACCGGCTGAATTCAAACCAACCTGAACAGTGTTCTCCCGTCTTTCGGTTTTCTGCAGCCTCGATGCTGAAAACGCGCACACTCACAAACGCACACATATTTAACACGGAAATTCAGAGAAAAATTAGTAAGCCTCAGAAACAATCTCAGAAGTGCACAGAGAATTATAATAAACAATCCATCTGGGCTTTCTTTTAGCGTATAATCAGTGCTCTCCGCTGTCTGAAATCCATCGAATTTCAGCCACAGTTCATTTTAAAAGCTTAACGTGTAATCATCTTTTATATGCAAAAGTAAAAATAATGCCCGTTAACCCCTTCGATCAAAGAGGAAGTGCACTTTGGTCGACAGAAAAAAACAAAAATTAGCTGCTCATTTCAAACTGTAGCTACGCTAACAGAGTGCCACCATGTGACCAAAAGCTGCAACGAAACAAATTAAAAATTACACATAATAAAAGCACAGTTTTCTTTTTAATTAATTAATATCTTACCTGTTGCAGATAAACGCTTTTTGAACAGCCTCAGAGCTCGACTAGACTGACGAGCTAGCGGCTAGTCCACGTGGGGCCAGAACTAAAGTCCGTCTTCTTAAACTATTATAAACTTTTCAGCCCACTTTGGTCTTGGCCCTGCTCAGAATAGCCGTTACCTCATCTTTCTGGTCAGAAATAAACTATTTCTTTAAGCTGAGGTCGTTCAAAGAGCTATCTATACCAGGTAAGATATTAATTGTTCATAACCCCACTTCTAAACATCTGAACTATCTCGTTAAAGTGAATCTGATTAGTGGCGCTGAAGCTCAGATTATTCTGAGACAATGAAGTTTAAAAC